TCTCGAAATATTCCGACTGAACGAAGGAGCATCATTAAAAGTAGTAAATCAGGGTGTTTACACACTTCTAGAGACAAATTTTTTGAAGCATTTTACAGGTATATGTAATTTTATAAGGACTAGCAGTTATAGAAAGATTTAGATCGTTTCGACGTATTTTCCAAATGTGCCCTTAATTAAAGTGTTTTTGAAATAAAAATTACGGTCAAGATCGCAGAATATTTTATCTTTAAAAGTTGGTTTATTCTGAAAGCACAGCTCTTGCTAAGGTATCAAATTATTCGTTATTGTTTGTAGAATATAACACACACTTAAGAAGTTCTTAAAATAAAATGCTTCAAAACCCATACGCAATTAACACAAAATTTTGAAAATTGTGAAATGTGGAGTTACAGACTTTGAGTTACTTGCCATTTCGTTATTTTTTAATGCACACTTTTCTTACCTACTACATATGAAGTGTACACATAAGTGCCAAATGCCCATTTAATTTCAAATCAGAATATGGTGTGCTTCAAAAGTTATGACATAATTAATTGTGGCCCTCTTAAAAATTACATAAAAAATTCACTTGTTATACCCGAGCGCACTTGTGCACAAGGGTATTATAACTTTGTTCACATAACGGTTGTTTGTAACAGGCAAAACGAATCGAGATAGATATAGACAAATGTATACATAAATGATCAGAATGAAAAGAGAAATCGATTAAGCGGTGACTGTCTGTCCGTCCGTCCGTCCGTCCGTCTGTGCACACGATAACTCGAGTAAAAATTGAGATATCTTAACGAAACTTGGTACGTGAACTTCTTTTGGGCGTAGGACGGATGGTATTGAAAATGGGCGAAATCGGACAATAACCACGCCTACCTCCCATATAACGGTAATTTTAAGAAATACGAAATCTGCGATATTTTAGTAACTACTGAAGATAATTCACTTAAAATTGACTCTTACAATGAGTTTCAGACGGAAAACATGAATATTATAAATTTTTAGAAAATGGGCGTAGCCACGCCCACTTATGGTTACATGTGTATATCTTGGTAACCGCTGCACCAATTTCTTCCAAACTTGGCACAGTTGTTGGCCTTAGTACAGCATACTAAATGGCTGAAAATTTAAAAAACCGGACAATAACCACGCCTACCTCCCATATAACGGTAATTTTCAGAAAAACGAAAACTGCGATATTTTAGTAACTACTGAAGATAATTCATTCAAAATTGATATTTGCAATGAGTTTTAGACGAAAAATAAGAATATTACAAAATTTTGGCAAATGGGCGTAGCCACGCCCACTTATGGTTACATGTGTATATCTTGGTAACCGCTACACCAATTTCTTCCAAACTTGGCACAGTTGTTGGTCCTGGTACAGCATAACAAATTGCCGAAAATTTCTAAAATCGGACAATAACCACGCCCACATCCCATATAACGGTAATTTCGAGAAATACAAAATCTTCGATAAATCAGTAAATATTGAAGCTAATTTATTCAATTTGATGGTTGCAACAATTCTTTACCAAGAAATACGTTTATGACAAAATTTTGGAAAATGGGCGTAGCACCGCCCACTTGTGATCACATACATGTATCTCGCTAACCGTTCTAGCAATTTGTACCAAACTCGGTATGGTTATTGTACTTGCCACATAAAAGCAAACCGTTGAAAATTGTTGAAATCGGACTAAAATTGAGGCCGCTTTTCATATAACGGTAAATTTCAGAAATGCTTGAAATTTCAATATTTCGAAATTTAAGGACGCTAATTTACTTAAAATGTATACACCCCGGCTTATCATGTAGCGGTAGCTTTCGGAAAGGAGGAAAACATATATTTAATACTTGCGCCGGGTATTTAATGTTCGGCTCCGCCCGAACTTAGACTTTCTTACTTGTTTTCATTATTTTTTTTTATTTTAAACACCGATATTTCAAAAGTTATGCAGCAAATTGACCCAATCCAAAAGCAACCAGTTTGGTTTACTTTACAACAGTGAAAATAAAGCTAAACAACACAAAGGTTGCCTGTTTTTTAGATTTGCCCATATGAAATCCATAAAATACACCAATAAAATTTTGGTGCTTTTTCAAATTCAAAACATGGCAATACTGCCTTTTGCTCGATGCATCCTCTTTTTCTTGACGAGTTCGCCTTGCTCACTCATTCTGGTCAGTGTTGCCAAAAAGCACCAAAAACTTGGAAAAAAAGCGTTTTACCACAGTAAAAGCACCAAATGATTTTGAATCAATGGATGCTTTTTTCATAACAGTTTGCATGTATTTAACAAAAACAAAAAATTAACAATATTTACAAGAATGCATACATAAATCAATAAACATAACTTTTTCGCTCATAACGATTGAAAAGCCACATGCTATAATGACTCATGCTTACGACGTAATACCGAAGTACTGCACATTAAAACTGATATATCTCAAGAAAGAAAAATCTAATCCCAAAAAAATTTATGTTTTCATTATATAACCTCAAATATCGCCGAAAACTGTGATTTTGGCACTTTGAGGTTAGGATATCTCAAAATTCTAGTGCTTGAGCAATTGTGCAGCCTGATTTGGATTCAGCACCAAGAAACGATGTGTTTTACTCAGATGGTACAAAAATAAAAATTTTTACAAATAAATTTTTTAGAAAAGAAAAAAAGAAATACTTAACTTACCCGCATATCTACTAGCATTTTCAAGGCGAATAGAATTGAACAAGGTGGGCTTGCAAGTTCAGCTTTTTATCATTCATGGTTGTATTTAAGTGCATTTAAATTTGTAGATTTTTGTAAATTCAGTGCTGCCACTGCAATACATTAATAATTATGTCAAAAAGCTGGAACTAACTTTAGTTTCGTCTTTATTTTGACCATGAAATGCAAATGTTTGCCAAACTTAACAAATTTAAAATCAGATTTGAATTAATATGAAACACTAGACAGATCAAGAGTCACAACAGAGTTTTTTGGTAATAAATTCTCACTGACGAATTTTCATCGAGGTTTTTTGAATTCAAGGAGTTATCGGAAACACTCAAATTTATTATGTACCCTGATATGTCTTCACTTGATAAACTGAACTTGTTTAAATTTGCTAATAGATATGTACTACAATTTTGGAAACTTGGAGTTTAATTCCAGACATTTCAGATGTCCGCGGAAGCTGGCGTTTGCACACAAGATACACAGAGACATGTAAGAGACGCTTAATTATTTTTTCCACGATTTAAGTGTCAGCTAATGTCTCGAAGAACGGTAATAAGCAGGGAACGGATTTTTAGGACCTAAAAGCCTATAAAAAAGACAAAATAAAATAACGAAATAGGCTGAAAAAGGCAAAATAAAATAGCGACTAAGGCAGGAAAAGGCACTAGGTATTGCAAAAAAGGCAAAAAAAGGCAAAACAAAATAGCGAAAAAGGCAGGAAAAGGCAGTAGGTATTGCAAAAAAGCAAAATAAGGCACTAAAAAGAGACAGAAAATACGAAGAACAATCAAAAAATACATTTATTTTAGAAATGTTTATATTACAAGTAAACAGAGAAAAACTATGAACTAGTTTCATTATATGAAAAATTTGTACTTTGAATCTTTGACTATTTTATCCTTTCGCGTTTCTAACTCATAAAACTTTAATCTGTATAGTTGTAGTAACATTGAACCACAAGATGCATTTTGAAGTTTTCTGACAGCATTTCATTCGATTTTCGCGAAGAAAAGCCTTGAATGTACTAAATGTGCGCTCGACGTAAGTTGATACAAGTGGAGCCTAATTTAAATATTGAACGTCTGAAACGTTCATATTATCAGTAATAAGGGCGTTTTCCTCACCCTTTACAATTTTATCCACACCCCTTATTGTCTCCAAGCCTACGTTAGCTGAGAAAACGGCTTTGAATTTTTCCAACACCAATTTGGCAAGAGGTCCCTGCGCTTCTATAAGCCGCATGGGCATGTGTATATTTTTTAATCTTTAAAATGAAATTGTAAATGCTATACATAATCACTTTTTAAAGGTAGATAAGGCAAAAAAAGGCAAATATCTTAAAAAAGGCAACATCAAATGTGAATATATGGAATCAGGGAAAGCTAAATCGTGGACATTCTTGATCGAATATACTCTATCACTTTAGCAGAAAAAAAAGCAATTTCCACCGGCCCTGATCTAGGGCGTGGCTAGGAAGGGGCTGAAGGGTAGCTTACACCTGCTACCGCTTGCAAGACGAAGTCGAATTAAAAAAAAAAGTAAATATAACACTATGCGACAAAATCAAACTTTTTGGCTCGGTATTGAGTAAAACCAAAAAGTGGTAGTTTTAGATGCCAATAATACTACGTTAATGGCCTTTTACAACATGGCTAAATACAGCATTTTCGCTGTGTTTAATAATTTAAATCTACAATGATCAATTCTTTTGTAGTTTTGAATATCGGCACTTTAATCGATATTGCTCTTGATGTGATTAAATAATTGCGTTTACCGAATTCGTTATCTGTATTGGTATCCGGATATTTATCGATATATTTATCAACACCGTTCTCGATCTAGGGCGTGGCTAGGAAGGGGCTGAAGGGTAGTTTACACCTGCTACCGCTTGCAAGACGAAGTCGAATTAAAAAAAAAAGTAAATATAACACTATGCGACAAAATCAAACTTTTTGGCTCGGTATTGAGTAAAACCAAAAAGTGGTAGTTTTAGATGCCAATAATACTACGTTAATGGCCTTTTACATCATGGCTAAATACAGCATTTTCGCTGTGTTTAATAATTTAAATCTACAATGATCAATTCTTTTGTAGTTTTGAATATCGGCACTTTAATCGAAATTGCTCTTGATGTGATTAAATAATTGCGTTTACCGAATTCGTTATCTGTATTGGTATCCGGATATTTATCGATATATTTATCAACACCGTTCTCGATATAGATATTTTTCGCTTTCATATTTGTATTACATAAAGCGCTCATACGAATCAGGTTACCTTACGACTCAAGTTTTTTTTTTAACACAAGTGTAAACTCATTGCATTTACCTGTTCGAAATTCTTTGCTACAATAACTGTATACACCGAACAGGTTCCGAAGTAGGTCAGGAAGAGTCCGAAAAGTATGGAAAATTTGGCAACTGGTGCAAACCCGCGTGCCCATTTTGGCCCATTTTGGAAAGACACCTCAGCAACTTCAGCGAAACTCATCTGCGTGCGACGCGATTTATAGTAGAGTTTGTGTGCGCATTTCACCTGTAAAAGAGAGTGAACAATATAAATATGTGCATACATAAATACACTCAGAAAACAAACATTCCTTGATGCTAGGAAAAAAGTATATTATTCTAAGGAATAAAAAAAAATTTTCAAAACCAATAACTTACTAAACATTTTTTTATGATAGCTTAAAATTATTGTAACCAATAGAGGTATGTTGTACAAAAACACATACACAGAAGTTTACAAAATTGATATAAAACTATTCGTCGATTTAAATAGTTAACTTTTTACTGCGCATATTTTTTTTTTACTAGGAGGAAGCATCGAAAGCCTAACCCCGTCAGTGGGAGACTTTAACCGAAACTAAACTTCCTACCGTCATGTACCGTTCCCACTCCCGTTACCACCGTCAAGGATTTCGTCGGGATTATAACACTGTGTGACTGCTAAAGTTATAGATCTATTCTCTTCTTCTTCTTCTTCTTATTTGGCACTGTAACCGCCTAAGCGTTTTTGGCCGAGTTCAACAAAGCACGCCAGTTGTTCCTCTCTGTGCCAACTGACGCCAATCGGAAATGCCAAGTGAAGCCAAGTCCTTCTCCACCTGGTCTTTCCATCGCAGTGGGGGCCTCCCTCTTCCTCTGCTACCACCAGCGGTTCCGAGTTGAATACTTTCAGAGCTGGAGCGTCGGCGTCCATTCGAACGACATGGCCAAGCCAGCGGAGCCGCTGTATTTTAATTCGCTGCACTATGTCCATGTCGTTGTAAAGCTCATACAGCTCTTCGTTCCATTGTCTGCGGTACTCGCCATCGCCAACGGGTCCCGTAAATCTACATTAAATCTTTTTCTCGAATACTCCAAGAGCCGCCTCATCGGATGTTGTCATTGTCCATGCTTCTGCGCCATATACCAGGACGGTCATGATGTGCAGCGTTGCCGAAAGCTTTCGCTGAAAAATCGTAATTTTACCCTGAAAAAATCGTCATTTCGGCCAAAAAAACGTAAAATTTTTATTATACTTTTTTAACAAAATAAAAAATAGAAACAAAATTGTATAAATTACATACAATAAATATGACCACACATTTCAAAACCGAAGGGAACCCACTTTGAGTATGGGTTAATAAAAGTGGATTTGAAATTATTAACTATAATTTTAAATTACACTTTAAAACAAAACTGGTTTTAAATTGTTCAACTCCACTGGCTTGAAGTTTTTGAAGATGTGGAAAGTGTAACATTAGCATTTATTAACTGATAGATAATCTTGACTGATCAAATTCCCTCTGCTATTTTTCTGTCTCTTTCAAGTCAGTGTCAACAGTGCAAATTAACGATTTGGTTACAATTCTAGAACAAATTTAATATAACTAAAAGCACGGTTGTAGAACAAAACTAGATAAATGCATGGTTGTATTTTGGATTACGTTTTCCTTTAAACAATTTTTGACATACATACTTATGTACATACATATGTAATTAGGTGGAAAAACTAAAATAAAAAATCGTCATTACGGGGAAAAATATCGTCAGAACGTCATTGAGCTGAAAAAAGCGCCAAAATAACGACGAAATCGTCAATTCGGCAACGCTGATGATGAGTGACTTATAGAGTGTGGTTTTCGTACGTCGAAAGATGACTTTACTCCTGAATTGCCTACACTGAGGGGAAAAAATATTAAAATCAAATAGAAACATAATTGATCTTACTATAAACGTCAACGAAAGTACTGTATATTGGTAAATATTCAATTCAATTACGCGCATATTAAAATGACCGCGTTCGTTCTGAAAAAGCATCCGTGAAGTGAATAAACAAGACAAAAACTAAAAAAAAATATTTATCTTGCATGTTACCTGCAGTGGTATTCGAACCTTGACCATCTCTCTGGATACCAACAAATCGTGGCATGCATCTTTGCGCACTCAGCTACACCCAGGCATATAAAGTTGCTTTCAAATCTTGAATTTCCATCAACGCCACAGCACGCGATTTGTACGGATAAACATGTACTATGTATGATTGTTTGTGTTGTCACCGCTCTTAGAGCGGCGCTCTGCATGCTTGGGGTGCGTATGTACACTCATATATATACTCAGATGTGAACAGTCAAATACGTGCGTAATAAATTTTGTATGAAAATATTATTTTTAAATTCAAACATTTTTAAACGATAATCAAATATAAAGTATTCATTTTTATTATGCACTGTTTCCCTTAGTGTACGCAGTTCAAAGTCTCACTTGTTGACAAGAGTAATTCTGTGTTGGATTTCCATGCTGGCATCATTATCAGTGTTAAAGCTGCTTCCCAAGTAAACGAAATTCTCAACTTTCTCGAAATTATAACCGTCAACAGTGATGTGGGTGCCAAGGCGCGAATTTGCTGACTCCTTGTTTGATGACAGGAGATACTTCGTCTTGTCCTCGTTTATAACCACACCCATTCGCTTTGCTTCCTAATCCAATTTGGAAAAGGCAGAACAGACTTCACGGTTTTTGCTACCGATGATGTCGATGCCATTGGCATACGCCAGAAATTGTAAGCTCTTGTAGTAAAAAAATCCGTACTATCATTTTCACCCCTGCAAATCCGTACCGTACGGAAAAATCCGTACATCTGGCGGCTGGTGGCGATCGGCTGGGAGGGTTCTTTCCCAATTCTGACGGAGCTTGTGGTATTGCTCAACGCCTTTAAAGTCGACAAATAGGTGGTGAGTGTCGGTCCTTTTCTCGCGGATCTTTTCCAAGATTTGGTGTATTGTGAATACCTCGTCTATGGTGGATTTGCCGTCTGGTTTGATTGCAGTTTTGCGACGTTGAGCTTTTATTGCATTGTTGGGCGCACATGTTATGCTGCACCGACGCGGATATGTATATTGGGTGTATCAATATAGTGGTGCTAGTCAATGTTTGGCCCTCGGAGTGTAAGTATGTACATCTAAAACACTGGAAGTGTGCCTTCCCTCTATCACAACATGTTCGATTTGGTTTTCCGTTTTTCGATCTGGAGACACCCATGTAGCTTGCTGGATCTTTTTTATGCTAGAAACTAGTACTACATACTACCAAGTTTCGGGCCCCGGCTAAGTCGATAGCTTAACACCTTTATCGGACGTTTCTATGTGGAGGCTGAATTTTCCGACAGTGGCGCCAAAGATTCCTTCGTTGCTCACCTTGGCATTGAAATCGCCAAGCACGATTTTTAAACGTGTCAGAGGCAGCGCTAATATGTACGCTCTAAGCGCTGATAGAAGATATCCTTGGATGCGTCGTCCTTCGCTTCCATCGAGGCATTGGCACATACGAGCGAGATGTTGAAGAATCTCGCTTAGATGCGGATTGCGGCTAGACGTTCGTCCACTAGGGTGAAGGCCGGTACTCGGCGATGGAGTCTCTCTCCCTCCACAAATCCAGCATCGAATTTGCGCTCCTTTACGTGACAACTGTAAAATACGTCGCAAGGCTCCACGCTTAGAGCGCGGTTACCCACGAACGTGTACGTAGCGTAGCGTAGAAGTACATAGAAAGATATCAAGTATGCTGTTGATAGAAAGAGAGAAGCAACGTCTACGTCACGGTCATGCGGTGGTGAGTTTTTGTTAACACGCAGATCCCATAAGATAGATCGTGTTTGCTGACACGTTCTCCGTTTTTACGTCCGTGGGTAACTGCGCTTTTACCTTCCTCGTCCCATCCATCGCATTTATGGATGGCGGTGAATCAGCCTTTATTTTCCCTAGGACATCAACCAGCCGGGCAGAGGCACTTTCCCGATTAAGGGTTCGGATATTCCAGGTGCATACCCTCAAATCATAGTCCTTCCTACGTTTGCCGTGATCGTCATCAAAGGAAGGGGTATCATCCAAGGCATGCGTTTCTTTCATGGATATAAATATCCGGACGTAGTGAGCTGCGATTTGAATCGCAAGCACTCGAATCATTTATGGCCACTCCCAGGTGAATGGCAATCAAAATATTTGCAGTACTGGGGAATTTTTCAGAACATAGTGGTCAAAGGCGAATATATTAACTAAGCCCCGATGTAGTTTTTAAACTCATAACTCTACATACCTGTATAGTAAACCAAAGAGCCAGACCAGACGTTATTCAAAATAAAAAAGGTAAAAAAATTAACTTTATGTAAGATAAACTAACAATTTATAATTGTTGCTTTATAGGGAAATATCTTCTCATATACATATGTATGTATAAATATGAGGGCGTATTGAACATTTTGAGTATGCAGATTTTTTATGTTTTGTCACACCGTTTTAAAGTATAGTTAAATCATTAGTTAAACTTAACTACAGAAAATTCTGTGTAATTTTTCTGTAGTTAACTTTAACTAATGATTAAACTTAACTACAGAGAAAATTCTGTGTAATTTTTCTGTAGCTAACTTTAACTAATGATTTAACTTTTATTTAAAATATATATATCAGCAGCTCCTAATATGCTTGGACTTCGTCCTAACACCGTTGTCAAGATTATTACTTATGTACATATATTGAGTAAATTTACTTCGTCAAATTAATGACGCACTATTTTTAGCATGAACCTGAATTAGGGAAAAACTTCTCAAATTGAGTAAATTTTTCGTAATAACAATTAAGGAAAAAACAGTAACTCTAAAATAAGGAAACTGGTTTCTTGTTTTAAGGAAATGCTTTTTTCTGAGTGTATGTAAGCAAGTAAGTACCTATGTACATAAGTATATAGTACATAATCAGACCGATTCTGAACTCCCTGGGAGTTTTCTCTTTTTTCCCTTTCCTCCTATCATGAATAAACATTTTGTGAGGATTTTTTTTTAATGGCGTAGTTGAGCTGTCAAAAAAGTGTCAAACAGCTCTTTCGAAGTTCGAATTTCCTCTCCCAAATTTTCGGGGAAAATGCTACTCCCTGGGAGTTAGTTATTGGAGGATTTCTTTCCTGGGAGAAACAAATTCCCGGAGAACAAACTCCCTGGGAGTATTCAAAATTGGGCTGAACATGTATTTATTCATATATGTGTACAAATGGATGTAC